GCCCCCGGAGCCCCCCGCGGCGGGGGTGGCCTCTTCCCCGCGGCAGCCCCGAGGGCAGTGCAGCCGCAGGGCGGCCCCGAGCAAGCCCGGCCCTCCCGCCCCACGGCTCCCAGTGGGCAGGGACAGGTGCAGGGGCAGGGGCAGGTGGCGGGCCACGGTCCCCCGGGCCAGACCGCGGTGGCGGGGCCGGGGTGCCTGGGCCGCCTGCGCCGCCCACAGAGGGGCCTCGGTGGTGGCGGCGGAGCCCTCGGGGGGCGAAGGCGCGGCCCCGGCGGGGCCCTCCCCGGGCGCTGGCCGGGTCCCGGTGCCGTGAGGGCTCGGGCTGGGCTGGGCAGCGCTGGGGCATGTGCTGAGCTTGGGCTGCAGAGTCCCCGAGAAGAGCCGGGGCCGGGGGAGCCGGCTCTGTCCCCAGGGGCACTCGCTCCTCTCCCCCCCGGGTCTCCCCCCGGCTCCTGCCAAAGGGGCTGAACCAGGGGAAGGCAGGAATGGGGGTGTCCGACACCGAGAGCTGGCTCTGTGCTTCTCCTCCTGCTTCAGGGCCAGAGCAGAGCTGGGAAAGGAAGGGGGGGAGAGCAGGAGAGCATTCCTGGGATGCTGGTGGGAGCTGGGAGAGACCAAGGGGCGAGGATGTGGCCGAAAGGGAACGCTCTCCTGCGGGAGCAGCTCCAGAGAGCGAAGGAGGGGACTTGGGCCCTTCCAGGAGATGTTGGAAAAGTGAGGGTGGATGGGATGAGGGCGCGGGAGGAGCTGGAAGGGAAGGAGAGAGAAGGGGGCCGGGAATGTGAGGTGAGGAGGGGCTGGGGGAATGTCAGAGGTGATGCCCGTGTGGCACGAGAATGCGTTTTCTTTCTGGCCTAGAGACCTCGCCGTGAGAAGGTTCTGGCTTTGTTGAGGGTGCGCTTGGTTTGAAGAGGGGGGTTGTTGATGTAGTACGGGAGAATCGGCAAAACACGTAATAAAGCATATGCATGCTGCCATCATGGCCTTGGGAATCCCGCAGGAAATAAAGACAGACAACGGTCCCACATATATTTCTGCAACATTCAGTCAATTTTGTACTCCGTGGGGAGTTCCCCATAAAACCGGGATCCCACATTTACCCCCAGGACAAGCTATTGTTGAAAGAGCTCGTGCTATGCTGAAATGGCTTTTGCAAAAACACAGAGGGGGAGAATCTGTTCCTTCTGAGCGACTTGCAAAAGCTGTGTGTGTATTAAATTTTTTGGGGTTGACAGGGGAGCGAGGTTCACCCCCAGTTGTGCTACATCATTCATCATTACAGTCAGGAATTCAGTCTCTGGGATCAATAAAAGTCCAATACAAGGACTGGGCCACCGGGGACTGGAAAGGTCCAGTGGGATGAAAAATGATTGGTAGAGGATATGCTTGTGTTTTGACAGATCAAGGTCCTCGGTGGGTGCCTGCCAGGTGGATCAAGCCATGGAAGGAGCCAATCCAGACCAGCTCAACCAGCCCAAGCAATGAGACTTGAGGACGACGCCTGGCCCTGGCTTAATTGGAAATATGACTCTGGGGGGGAGTAATATGGGGTCAGAAATCCTGATTTTCCATCTATCGTGGGCAATTGGAAATTGTATTACTGACATTTCTCCCAGACAAAATATGTGGGTAACGTGGGCTAATCAAACGGGACAAAATGCCTTTTGTTTGTCAATGGCAACACCCTCTGATCCCTTACAAAAGCTGGAATTATTGGGGTCTCTACCTGGTTGGAAAACAATAGGCAAAACCTGTCATTGGGTTGTATAGAGTTTGGAGGGGAGAAGCCGTTCCTCTGTGCTCAGTGTGGGTTGAAGTTTAGTGATACAACCTTGGCAGGACACCAAAATGTAACACCTGGTGAGCCTTTTAATAATCGCACACTATACTGTCAGCATGTAACTAGTTATCACCTGCTAATAATAGCCCACTATAAAGGCATCACCTGGGAATTGTCTATAAAAGCTGGGACATCTGTGCAATAAAGTGGCATCTACCTCATCACAGTGGTCGTTGTGTATGGTGTCCGAAGCTTCCGCGTGATTAAAGAACAGAACAAACGAGGTCGGCCATGGTCCCTCAGCAAGGACAACCCCTGCCCAGGTCTGTACCAGACTCCTGAATCCTTGACTTTTCTCGGTGTCCTTGTAGAAGGTAAAGAATCTGTGGTAGAGTGGCTTAGGGTGTGATTGCACCATGGCCTTGTCTGTCCCTGCAGCTTTGAAAGGCAGGAAAATGTCAACACAAAAAGACAGCAGAGCCCAGGAATCAGTGTGGACATTGCTGCCCAGGCCTATGCCTGACCCCTGAATGCTTAGCTTTTGTCCTTGAAGAAGTTTGAGAATCGGTGGGGGGTGTAGGCTGGGAGTGCACCATGGTCTGCTCTGGTTCCCATCTCTCCCTGGAGCTCGAAATGGCAGGAAAGTTTAAAGAAAAGAAAGGCTTTAGAGGCCATCGATCAAGATGGACCCCGCTGCCTAAGTCTCTGTCAGAGTCTTGAATCCTTAACTTTGTGTCTGTTTCTTTGTAGAAGGTAGAGAACCTCTGGCTGTGGATGGGAATGTGCCGACGTGTGTAGCGTATGAAGGCAGAATCGTTTATTATTTAATCGTTTATTATAACCCACAGGCAGCTTATATAGCACCAGTGTGTATTCTGTCCCAACCGACACACCCCTCCAACCCCCAACCACCAGGTGGGCAGAATTCCCCTCCATCACTCCGAGGCCCCAGGCATTGTTTACAGCCCATCTGGAGATGCACATGGGCCATCTTCTGCCCTTGTTCCTGCTTCTTCTCCTGGTCTCTGCTTCTTCCACAATCCTGTTAACCCCTTGTTCTCCCACAGTCCTGTGCTCCTCTCCTTGTCGGGGCCTTTGTCTACAGGAGAGAGGATAAAAACAATGGGGCATCCAGCCTGATGCACCACAGACAACCCCTGTGCAGGTGTCTGCCAGGGTCTCTTTAGCTCTCTCTTTCTCCTCTGCAGTCACTTTGCAAGTCTGCTGGGTTGTCCTCTGTAGGAAAATACTGTCCCTGCCTTGAATTTCACCACATGGTTCAGAGATGCTGCTGCCGAAATAAAGATCCAACAGAGAAGAAAATTCTTGCACGGCAAAGAAGAAGAAAATATGGTTTCACTGCCTTTTAAAATGTAGAAGTAATCATAACACTATAGCTCTCCTCCTTAGACTTTTTCTTCTTTCCGAAGAGGCAGTAGGAATTTGCAATCATTATTTTATCTTCTGCTTTTTTGTCCAAGTTTCATTCCTGTGGGGTTCATTGTTTCATTTCTCTGCTGCTGGTTTGCATCTACAAGTGGTTCTGCATTTTCAGGCTGGGTTTCTCCAGGAAATAGAAGCATTAGCCGTGGGGCCAGAAAAGAAGAGACTGGTATTCCCAGAAAAGCCTCTCTCTGACAAACATGATCTGAATTTAATAGCAGTTTTAGAGGCAGCAAAGGGGGCGATGGATGGGCTGTCACTCCTTCGGGGCTGGTGGTAGTCCCATATGCACTCAGGAGTAGCCTTGGGAAAAGGGAGCATGAAGCCGTGCATTGGGGAAGAGAGAAGCTGTTGAAGCATCTTCAAAAATTAAGAATTAGCTGAAGTATGACTGAAGTGGTGAGGTCAGTGACAGAAAGGTGTGAAACGTGTTGTCCAAAATCACAGAACAGGATTCAATTTGGAAAAATAACAGAAGGGTGAGCAGCAGGGGAATATTGGCAAATGGATTTCCCTGAATTGCCTGGGTGTGAACCATGAAGGTACTTAGTGGTTCCTGTAGATACCTCTACTGGGTGGGCTGAGGCCTTTCCCCTGGGATCCCCCTGGCACTCCAGAAATAAAACTGGGTTCTGTAATTATTCGGGGGTGAAGTCCCAAGCCATTGGAGGTGCAAAGCTCTCTAGATACCTGCCCACATTCTCCCGCCTCCCTGCTGTGGTAAGATCAGAGGGTTATCTCAACCCTCTGAGTGCCCCACATTGGGCGCCAGAAAGGACTGGTGTGGTTTGGCCTCAGAGGGCAACAAAGAACCAGGTGGCAGCCACCTTCTCGGTCCCCTCCAGCCCTGAGGGGAGAACTAGCAGGAAAAAAAGGACACTTGTAGCATATGAAGGCAGGGACCCTGGTTGGTGATGAAACCGAATCGTTTATTATCCCAAACAGGCAGCTTTTGTGGTACTAATGTCTCTTCTCTCCCAACCGACACGCCCCTGCAACCCCCAACTGCCGAGGGGGTGGAATGTCCCCCCCATCAGTAGGGTCGTTAGGTGCTGTTTATGAGTCGTTAGGACTCGACCAGGGGCCTTCCCCTGCCAGTGTTCCTGCTGCTTCTCTTCCTTCTTCTGGTCTCTGCTGCTTCCCCAATCCTGTTCACCCACTGAAACTGGTGGGTTGGGACAAAGGCAGTTTAACAGAACAGCAAAGGGAACAAGAAAATGTGTGGAAGATCGCCTTGCCAGACGTCGATGTTCACAAGGGAGACAGAGGAGTCCTGCAAAGGCTTTATTCGAATAAAAGGAGAGTCCACTGGGGCATATCCCTGTGGGGCCTCTCCATTTGCCAGAGGACGCAACCTCCATGGTCCCTCATGCCCCTGCACAGCCTCCCACGCCTCTGCTCTGGGCCTACAAGAGCTCAACAGATGTCCTCCACCCTCTGCTCCTCCTCGGGGGGATCGTTGTGGTTTTGTACAGCTGTAACTCACCCCCTCTAGCCCTCCCTGGCCTGGCTGTGGGGCGTCACAGATCCTCCAACCAGTTAACCAGTCCCTTGCTCCCCTGGACAGATAGTTGCTTTAAATTATTTTTTCACTCTCGATCAAAGCCGACAAAACAAATCAAACAATCTATGAGAGAGGCACTGCCTGGAGCTGGCAGAAGTGTCCTCTTTTGCCCCCGTCACAGGTCTGGCTTGGGATGGGGCTGAGGGACCTTCCCGAGACTCCTGGGCAATCCCAGTCAGGGCAGTAACATCCCTCCGGGTATCGCTCCATGTGCTGATGCACACAGTCCTCTGAGCAAGAGAGAACAGGGATTGTCGTTTCTTTCTCCTTCTAAGGAGAGACCTGGAGAAACTTGTTGCGTTGAATGAGAACGTTTCATTCTGCCATCTTAAAGTCTTGGAATTTTTGAAGTCATTGAAAAAGTACATTAAAAATATTAAAAAGTAACTTTTTTTTTTTTTTTTTTTTCGAGCTAGTCCAGCCACTGAAGAAAGAACAAAAGTGCTTCGTTTTAGTCCAGGGTGGGGTATTTTGAGATGACCCAAACCTGGCATGCTTATGGGTAACTTTAATTAACCACCCTCCACCTTTTTCTTCTTTTTTCTTCTTTTTTTTTTTTCTTATTTTTTTTCTTCTTCTTTTTTTTTTTCTTTCTTTTTGGCTTGCTTTCTTAGAACAAAAAAAGGTTCTTATAAAAGAACAAAAAAAGGCCGGGGAGCAGAGCGGTGCCCCCCCCCCGAGCCGGGGAAGGCCGCCGGCCCCTCGAGGCGTGGGGGGGTCGGTGCCCGCAGCCGGGCAGGAGAGCGGGGAGGAGAGG